ACTATAATGAAATGTGCAAGGGCCCAGAGTGGGAAAATCAAATGGGCTGAACTTGCTCCACATTTCTTAAGCTAAAAGAACTAAAGAACAAATTCAAGCTCTGAGTTGCAGGACCTAAGGATGCTATGGCAGAATATTGAATGATCCAGGAAGCATTAAAAGTAGGAGTAAACAGAGTCAGTATACCAAAAGAATTGGTCGATGCAACAATGAATGAATGGAAATCCAAGTTTTCTGTAAACTTTTGTTAAAATAACAATAACAAATAAAAAAAAGAATTGATTGACACAGAAAAATTTCATGGAACATTATGATTAAGAGGCAGTGGTGATGGAGGAGGGAGTGCAGGCTGCTCTGCAGGACTTGGCAAAAAAATACAGCTGCAGAACTCAAGGAATACCAGTTGACATAGTTGCAACCCTGGATGTGCTCACCAGGTTGTGCCAAGAAATCTGGAGGACAACTACCTGGCCAGCTGACTGGAAAAGATTCATATTGATTCCCTTTCCAAAAGAGGGTGACCCAAAAGTGTGGAAATTATTAAGTAATATCACACACAAGCAAAATTATTGCTGAAGATTATTCAAAATGCCTGGAAGAGTAACTGCATGAAGTACAAGCAGGGGTTAGAGGTCATGGCACTAGAGACATTATCACGAATGTCAGATGAATCTTGGCAGAAAGAAGAGAGTACCACAGGAATATCTGTGTTTCATTGACTGTGCTAAGGCATTTGACTGTGGATCACAGTTGTGGCTCACCGTGAGGAGGAGATTCCCCACTTGATTGTTCTCATGCAAAAACTGTATTTGGACCAGGAAGTGGTCCCCAGAACAGAACAAAGAAAGGAGTCAGGGATGTGTCCTGTCTCCATACCTTTTCAGTCTGTATGCAGAAGAGATCAGTCAGAGGGTGGGCTTTATGAGGAAGAATGTGGCATCAGACTTAGAGGAAGACTCATCAGCAACTTACATTATGCAGATACCACTTTGCTTGCTGAAACTGAGGACCTGAAGCACTTCCTGCAAAAAGTCAAGGACTGTAGTCGTCAATATGGATTGAAGCGCAACATCAAGAAGACAAAGATTCTTACCACTGTAGAGCCAATTGGCAGCACCATGATAAATGGAGAAAAGATTAAGTTGTTAACAATTATAATTTCTTTGGCTCCACAATCAACTTTTGGCACTAGCAGTCAAGAAATAAAAGACAAATTGCACTGGGAAAATCTGTTTTCAGGGACCTCTCCAGAATAAAGAGAAGCAGTGATATC